GTCGCCAAAAGAATGTAAAAAAGTCAAGAAACTGCACTTGATGCCAATGAAAGCACGAGATGAATCATTTTGAGGCGAATATGATTTTAAAGATGAAAAGACTACTCATGCACACTGACTAAAACATGTTGTTCCTAGTACACACATCACCAAGCCAAATAACACTGGTCGAAAGTGCTTTTGAAACATAATTGAGATCCTTTCAAATAACAAAACACACTCATTTTTGTTTTATGACTGGGACAAAACTACCCTTATTTTCTATTCCCTAACCCTACACCTAACCTCAAACCTTAGATTTTCATCAAAACATTTAGCATGATTCCTAATCCATTTGTAACAATTGGCTGATTACCAATTTCAGATTTTACTATCCTGAACACTTGGTCTCCACAGTATAGGAAAACATTGACCTGTCCTACACACATACATACTCTCAGCCATTCAACATGAGGCAGCATGTAACCTGTTTGATGTCCTCTCAGCATAAGAGCTTTTTGTGCTCCTTATCTTCTTTGTGCCGATCAGCAAACTCACTTTGAATCCAGCAAACCCTGTAACTTATCTCAGGATCTGCATTATTTTGGACTGAGATCGATGACACAGCTCTTTTCAGACAGGGTTCAATAGCATCAGTGTTCCCCCAGAGCAGAAATGCTCATAAAAACACATTAGAAAACCACTTTTAGTGGCCTAAATGTGAGGGTTTACATTTTTTCTCTTACATGCTGACACATACACACACACACAGGCTGTGCTCAGACAATGTCGTCGTCTCTGCCAGATAACATCACAACGCACACATATTCATGTTGTCCAGATAGCATCCAGGCCTGCTAGAACACAGCTGCTTCAACAAAGAGATGCAAAGAAAACACGACTGATGTTTTATCATTAGTGCCACTTTGGGCACCAAAACACTCACACACGCAAGAGCAGGAAAACAACACGGGACTGTGTTTTTAGCTGGAAATGAAAAAAGAGGTGAGCCCGACAGAGGAAGAGGGCGGCCCTGGGAAATATCATTTCTATAATGCCTAAAAGAAGACAGGGAGGAAGGGAGAGAAAGACAGAAAGTGGCACAGAAATGTATTCCATCTTCTGGATGGATGAGTCACTCTGCATTTTCTCCCTCTCCCGTTTTTCGTAATCTTGCGGGCGGGCTGCTAAATTTAGTCCTGCGCTGAGCCCTGACAGACAGGTAGGCCAGCATCAGCTTCAAAAT